TTTTCTCATTTTTTCAACAGGTGTTTGCCAACATGTTGTCACCATTTGTCGGTTTCACGCGCTTTCCGGTTTTCGGGCATTCCCTGCGATCCGGTTTCAGGCAGCAGCTTTGGTTTCAGCATTTCTTTGTCAACACGAATTGGGATGTCAATGTTCCCCGTTATACTAACAATCCTTAATATCAGGGGTACTATTATCCCTATTAAGGATTGTTAGTATCAGGGGAACATCCCAAAACACGAACCTTAAGTTCCCAAAATTCCTTCGCGTTCGCCGTATCCCTGCATTCTTAGAAAAGCAAAGCGCGGAGCTTTATCCAAATCTCTGGGCAAAAACACAGGGGCCGAAATTTCTGTCTGCTAGGACTATTCAGGTGGGACTAAGTAATGGTTTACAGGGGAGATTGGGCTTACAGGCAGACCCTCCGGCCGAAAAGGGCTATTGGATTTAGGGAGAATTCTTGGGATTTGGGCCGTTTAGTGCCCATATACTAAACCCCTCTGGAAGCCTGAATAACGGTACCCCACCTGGGCTCCCTTCGTGAAGTTGTCCTTAGTACAGAGTAGCCAGAGGAGCGGTTTGAGTGTAGGGCTGGGGGGGGAGGGGATGCCTGCTTGGGCTTCTCAGGGTTTGGTTTGCTTAGGGGATTGATGAAGTTGCAGTTCCTAAACTGCAACCCGTAGGGTTTAGGGATCTGCAACGATGGCAGGCTACTGCGCCTATGTGCTTCACTCGGCCTTGATGCACGACGTCCATCACCCCCCAAGTTCCCCCACAGCAAGGGTTAGGGCTTCGCTCAAGGCAGCGAGGCATATTCGTAGATTACGACTCGCTTTGGAGCACCTATGACACTCTTCATGCCTGCAGGTCGAAGCGTCAAATCTCTGTAGCGCAGCCTTGCAAACCCATAATTAAAGCCCTTCATCCAAGCCTCAAACCCCAAACCTTGTCGGCCTACACAGGGGGGCAGCCGTCCAAACCCACCTAATCCCTGAGCGTGAAGCACCGAAAGCCCGGCATATTCGCCACCCTAAACCCTAGACGCCCTAAACTCTAAACCCTAAAGAAAAATCGAGCCCTCCTCTCCCCTTCCCCCCCCAACCCGAGAGCCCACACAGAGTGTTCACATCAGCTTTCGCATCGCGTGACTCGACTGAGGGAGCCCTTGGGAGCTTCAATGAGTTTCAACAGGTTTTCAAGGGAGCCCTGAGCCACCCAAGCCTCGGTTGCCTCCTCTGGCCCGTGGGGTGCTGGTTTAGGGTTTGGGGGGTTCCCACATTGGAACCTTCTTCGGAGGCCTTTCAAGGTTCGGCACAGTTTCGGAGGGTTTCTCCATTTCGCACTGAGGGCTGTTCACATCCTCGGCCGTCTGGCCGAAGAGGACACGTACACTGGACGGCGGGCCTGTACCTCAATGCCATGGGCCCTTGTACAGGAAGGTTTCTGGGCCTCAATGTTAACGTCCCATTTATGAATGGGGTGGTAATAGCAACATCGAAGGCTACTTTCCATTACGGGAGGTTTTCGGGCCGATGTATGCCAACAAGTCTATATAGGGGGGTCCGGTGATAATAATAATGGGGTGGTAAATGTAAAATTTTTCCGGCCAGGAACTGATTTTTTTTACTGAAAATGGCTTCAGAATTCCATTGCAGGGAAGACTTTTCAGCTGAGCTGGCTTGAAAGAGCTCCGAGGCTCAGTCTTTAGAGAAGCAGATCTCGTTTGAGAGCAGAGAGCAAGCGGAACCCTTCACAAGACAAAGCAAAGCAGACCCTGACAGCTGACCCCCCCCCAGACCCCCAGACCCCAGACCCTCAGAATCCGCCTTATTGACACCCTCTCTTTTTGTTCCACCCCTCCAAACCCCGGGGACCAAAACAAGATTGGGGGGGGGGGGGGTTATTAAAGGGACCCTAACATTAGAGGGATTCCTATTTATAATGTCTTTGAGTTACTCTCAAAGGAGGGGCCATAAATTATGGAACTGCCCAAGTCCAGCGACTTCGGACGGAACTTCGGAAATTTGGGATAACATTCCGGGCTTCGGGGCTCCGGGGCTTCGAGTCTACTTGAGGAGGTCGTGGTCTGCAGATTCGAGATGCAAGCCTCGCAGGCGGTTGAAAGCGTAGAGGCGTAGAGCCCGCCCGTCCTTTGCCTTCTGGATGTACAGTTAAACAGGTCACCAGGTCACCCCCACATCCTAAACCCTATCTACCAAACCTGCGAAGTGCGATTGGAGTTTGTTGTCTTCCTATCGCAATCACCCAATCCATCAACCCAGAACCTCAAGCTTCCGAGAGCAGGGTTTTGAAACGTTGCCAGGCCGGCCCGTGGGTTGTTTCATGTTTTCCCCTATGGGGTTTAAGAGGAGCCAAATTTGGGAATATGTTTCACTGGGTCTTAGAATTCAGGGCCATCCTATAGGGTTGTTTTGCATTAAGAAAGGAGTCTGGTGCATTTAATTCGTGCCATGACTCATCCAGTTTCAATCTGTGGTATTGCGTATCAGATCATGGAATATCCCTAAACCCTAAACCCCAAACCCTAAACCCTAAACCCTACACCCTAAACCCTAAACCTCTCTATCATAATGAATTTAAACCCTAATTCAAAAGTGGGCAACGGTGATTTTCGGCCTCAAAAGTGGGCAACGGTGACTTTTTTGGCCTCAAAAGTGGGCAACGGTGACTTTCCGGGCCTCAAAAGTGGGCGACGGTGACTTTCCTGGCCTCAAATTGTCAAAAGTGGGCAACGGTGACTTTCGGCCTCCAAAGTGGGCAACGGTGACTTTCGGCCTCAAAAGTGGGCAACGGTGACTTTCCGGGCCTCAAAAGTGGGCAACGGTGACTTTCCTGCCTCAAAAGTGGGCAACGGTGAATTTCGGCTTGAAAAGTGGGCAATGGTGAATTTCCTTTTCCCTGAGTTTTTTCAAGGTTTTTCAAGGTTTTTCAGAGGTTTTCAATGTTTTTCAAGGTTTTTCAATGTTTTTCAGGATGTTTCAGGGCTTTTAACCCTCAATTCTGATGAAGGGCAGCCCCCGCGACCTTTTCACAGCCTAGTTTTGGTCAAGGGGGGGTCGTATTTTTCAATTTTAAAGGCAAAATAGTCTTCGGAGACCCCCCCTGGCCTCAAACTCCGACCCCCCCTTGGGAGGGAAAGTTTGCCTCCAAAAACACCCCAAATGAGGGGGACCCCAGGATCGGCCCGGGTCCCTATTAAAAATGCGATTTTTTAGTACTGAAATCGACGGTTCTGGGTGGCCTCGTTTTCTGGGTTTTTGACCACGAGCCTTCACCGATAGGGGCTTCTAAAGCATAAAGGGCCTGTTGTGGGCCTTAGATTAGATTTCGGGTTTTGGGTCCGTTAAAAACTAACTACTGGGAATGTATGTTATGGGTTTCTTGGGTGGGTGGGTTTTTTTCCAACGCTTGACAAGCTGCTTGACTAGTGAATGCTCGGACTTGAGATGCTGAACCCTAAACCCTAAACCCTAAACCCGACCCTATGAGGGGGGTCCTTGGGATCCGAGGTGCAGAGCATCGCCGAGCTGAAGCCGTCCGCGTGGAAGGCCTATCCGAGTCAGCACTACAAGACTAAGTGGTTTAGGGTTTAGGGATTAGGGTTTAGGGTTTAGGGTTTAGGGTGGAGGGTTTAGGGTTTAGGGATGTTTTCTATCTCCCCTTAGTGGGTTTACGAGGATCCCATTTAGGATTTGTTGTCAGAGGGTTTTCAGGGCCAGCTTTCTTGCAGGGGTTTGTGGATGTGGGGTTTAGAAGTTTAGGGCTTAGGCCTTTCGGGGTGTTTCGTATAGTTTTGAAAAACTATGGGTTTAGGGCTGAGATTGAAGGCTTATGCGACGAATTGGGGGTTTGAGGTTTCGGGTTTGGTTCAGCGGAGCCTTGAAGCGATCAAGCCCAATCCGTCCAGCCCCCGAAACCCTCAACCCTCGAACCTTCAACTCTCTTTAGCGACCTTAAATGGGCTCAGGCACTCAACTGTCTGGGACGTCTGTGGATTTCGGGTATGGGGTTCAGGCTGCGCTTGCGCCTGCACGTCCCGACGGTTTTGGCCTGACCCTGAACTTGCTAAAGCCCTCATCAGGTGCAGTTTCAGCTGGCCATCGTGCCGAATCCGCTGACAACTGCAGCTGGCTCGCAGGCAAAAAGACCAAGCTTAGCGGTGCCAAGGGAAATGACAAAATAGGGTGGGAGTAGGAGGCTCCAGCTTCCCGATTGGTTCACTACCAAGAACTGCTAGAGCCGATGTCCAAGGGTTCTTACGGGCTCAGGGTTGAAGGTGTATAAACCGTCAACCCTAATCATACGTCATGGTCCGGGGGACAAAGTCGAAACCTCAGCACTGCTGAATGCCCTAGCCTGGCGCTAGCTGTCAGATTCGCCAGGGAGCCACACTTATCTTACTAGTTCTTAGTAGGGAATTAGGAACCTCGAACGTAACCCTTTGAGGGGAAAGGGTACCTAATTCCCAAATTCAATACAAAGAACCCTAAACCCAGCAAAGCCCTAAACACCCAAAAGCCCGAAATCCTACTGCCCCCTCAAGCCCGAAACTTAGGGGTCTCAGAACCCTCAAGAGTCAGAAGCCCGAAGCCCCGAACGTCGAGAGTGTCTTGCAGGTGATGGTTGCCCTGGACCTCCTACTTGCAGGTACAGCGGTCGTGTTGCTTCAATGGTGGGGCTCAACATTCTGGACCCTTTGGTATTGGGCTTACAGTGATGTATAGTGTTTATGGGACATAAAAAGGCTGATGGAGCTGAAAGGGCTTACAGGGTGTAGGGTCATGCAATCCACAAAGGGGCCATTATTCAGAGAACTGCCCACGTCAAAGGTGTTGTAACTCGCACAAAGGGGCCGGGAGGGGGTGTCCCGCAACAACCCAGAAGTGCTGCCGACAGCCAGGCTTGCACTCGGACAGGTATATCTTGGACCGAGATCTCAGATCAGCAACAGGCGGAACTAGGTCTGGAGTCTAGTGGCCATGTTGGAGATCATGCTGGCAGTTGTGCTGTGGGCAGGCATGACCTTTGTCATTATCGTGATCGTTTCAGGCAGCAATGTCGTGATCGTGTCAAGCGGCAAAGGGAAGCGTCAGACGTCCGACAGCACGGAAAAGGAAGCTCCAGCGTGCTTGCGCAGTCGGCCAGATCCCCAAGTTCAAGTTCGCCAGAGAGTTCAGCAGTGTGCCAAGCAGACAGCTACAATCGAAGAAGCTCAGCCACATGGCAGTGGCACAAAAGGCCGTGCGGATGAAGAGCCGCTGCCGGACTGCGGTAAGTGTGGACAGGGCACTGAGAATGACATCACAGCGAATGGTGTAGGCGTACCCAGTGAAGCCAACGAAGAAGTAGACAGGAAGCGGCTGCAAGTCCTACAGCTTCTGGATTGCATAATCAGCGGGGAGGATGTTACCACGAACGCCGTGGCTCTGGATGTTCTGCATGCTCTCCCTGCGTGCAAAGACCCTGCTACTCTTGATGCCATGCTGGAAGAGCTAATCTCCCACAAGTCAGCCATTAATCGGGTTGTGCAGATCTATGTGTTGTCCAGGACGCCACGGCCGCCGCAAGAGCATTTGTTCGAAATACGGTCCTTGGAGTTGCCTAGCACCGAGTGTTATTCCGTGAATCCCAGCCTGCGCATCAAGGATGAGATCGCGGGAAAGCTACTCGTGCTCCTGGCGGAGTGTGCTCACCAGAGAGCGGAAACTTTGAAAACCCGTGAGGCCATTGACCACCTCACCCGGATCGACGACACGCAGCTGCTGCAAGAAGTGCATGGAGGACTTGATTCCTGGCCCTTCATTGGTGGCAGCATCGCCTGGTCGCGGATCCTGCAGGCAGAACGACGCCTGGGAGCCGGAGTTCCAAATCAACCCGTTCCTGGACCTACTGGCTCTTTTGATCCCTTAAAGCTTCGCATCTGCATGTGGCTGACGGAAAATGGCGAGGGCGGAAATGCAGAGCGTGGCTTGCAGCGGGCTTGCCTCGCGATGCTGCAGCGAAGAGGGTGTGATTCAGGGTGCCTTTCAAACTTGCAGTGGGGGCTGTCGCACTGGCAGTTCAGCTCGATCTCGCTCTCATACACACGGCTTTTCATGGCCGCAAGGTTCTTGAGATGGCATGCAAATTCACTGTGACTTGTGAACTTGCAAGCTTGAGCAGCCAGATTCCGCACGGTTTTTGTTTCTTCTGCTCATTCGCATGTATTTGCCTCCAGTGCCCCTGGGGTGCCTGTTCTGTCGGCACTCGGCATGTTCGGCTCAGAGCCTTATGGTTTCATCTGGATGGGCAGGATCTAACCTCATCACGTTGCGACAGATGTAAAAGAAGCAGCGCCAGCTTCGGAGACGCAAAGGGCTGGGAGCCTCACGTTGTTCATTTCAACACAGTCTCAGAGTCTCCCCAGATGGCAGAGCTGCATAGGCCCCTGTCTAAGCCCGAACCCTAAACTCTAAACTCTTGCAAAGGAGAGCTCGGTGAAGCCGTGGTGCAAGCATTGCCTGCCGTGGCCCGTGGCTCAGTCCAATAGAGGGGTCGGAATAAATACTAGTAGTGTTCCCGTAATAGCCCCCAAATCCCTAAACCCTAAATTATAATAACCCCCAAAACCCTATTGGGGTGTGGGTGTTGGGGTTTTAGGTTTTTAGGGTTTTAGGCCTTTCAGGGTTTTAAGGTTGTTTAGGGTTGTAAGTTTTCAGGGTTTTAGGGTCTAAGAATAACTCGCCATACCCCAAACCCATACCCCTTAACCTATGAAAGTATAATATAAAGGGAGTCTAAGGGAGAACTTTCCCATACCCCTTAATTTCTTGTAAGGGGTATGCCCTAGGGGTATGTTGAATATTTCTTAGATAGGGGGTTTTGGGTTTAAGGGCTGTTCAGGGTGTTAAGGAGTTTAGGGTTTAAGGGTTTCCTAGGGTCTTAGTGTTGTTTAGGTCTTTTTAGGGGTTTAGCGGTTTTGGAGTTTTAGGTTTTTCGGGTGTTGGGGTTTGCTGGGCTTTTTTAAAGGGTTTTCTAGCCTTGAGGGTGATTTTTGGGGCTTTCGGGTTTCTAGGGTTGTTTAGGTTTTTGAGGGTTTTATGGTCTTAGGGTTTTAGGGATCTTTACTCGCTTGTGACTTTTTTTGTTCTCGCTTGTGATTTCCTCTTGTTTCTCACTTGTGTGACTTTTTGAAAAGGCTGCTGCTCACTTGTGACTTTATTTTGCGTGCAGAGGGCGTTTTGCCTGCAGGTGCTAGCACGTTCATCTTCATTTTGTTGTGTCCTTATTTCTGCTGTTCTCCCTTTGTCCGCTTTCCCGTCGGATGGTTGTTCAAGCCCCCCCCCCCCCCCCCGCACCCCACACCCCGCTGTTGTCGAGAAGCACGTCCTTTCCCCACCCCGCTGTTGTTCAGCAGCACGTGGAACACGCTATCATCAAGCCCCCCCACGCCCCCCTTCCCCCCCACCCCACCACACCCCGCTGTTGTTGAGCAGCACGTGGAACACTCTATTCTCAACCCCCACCCCACACCCGCGTTGTCGAGAAGCACGTCCTTTCCACCCCGCTGTTGTTCAGCAGCACGTGGAACACGCTATCATCAAGCCGCCCCCCCCTTCCCCCCCACACCACTGTTGTTGAGCAGCACGTGGAACACGCTATTATCAACCCTCCCCCACCCCACACCCAACACGCTATTATCAAGCCCTCCCCCCACCACAGCCCGCTGTTGTTGGGGAGCACGTCCACCCCTCCACACCTCGTCGTTGTTGAGCAGCACGTGGAACACGCTATTATTGGGGGTGGGCTTTACCATCATTTACTATGGGATTTGCGCTACCCACCGTGGGCCCTCCGTTACAGCTCCGTTACAGCACCGGCTACACAGTTCCGTTACAGCTTCGTTGCACCTCCGTTACAGCTTCCTATAGAGATCCGTTACAGCTCCGTTGCACCTCCGTTACACCTCCGTTACAGCTTCCGTTACACTTCCGTTGCAGCTCCGTTACAGCTCTGATGCACCTCCGTTACAGCTCCGTTGCACCTCCGCTACAGCTCCTTTACAGCTTCCGTTACAGCTCCGTTACAGCTCCGTTGCACCTCCGTTACAGCTCCGTTACAGCTTCCGTTACAGTTTCCGTTACAGCTCCGTTACAGCTCCATCACAGCTCCGATGCACCTCCGCTACAGCTCCGTTACAGCTTCCGTTACAGCTCAGTTACACAGCTCCGTTACAGCTCCGTTACATCTCCCTTACAGCTCCGCCACAGCTCCCGTTACAGCTCAGTTGTACAGCTCCGTTACAGTTCCGTTACAGGTCCGTTATCAAGTTGTTGCTTCTGCTACGGCTCCGTTAGAGCTTCCGTTACAGCATCGCTACAGCCGGTAGCGCTCCGTTGCAGCCTTCCGACACGGCTCCGTTACAGCTTCGCGACAAGTCCGTTACAGCTCCGCTCCTTTCCGTTACAGTTTCTGTTACAAGCCCCGTTACCGGCGAGCATTTCTGTCATAGTAGAGGCCTGCAAATGATGGTAGAGCCCCACCCCAGCGCTATTATCAACCCCCCCCCCCACCCCAGCACACCCCGGTGTTGTCGGGGAGCAGGTCGTTTCCACCCCTGTTGCTGAGCAGCACCCCTAGAAACTCCAACGCTCAACCCTACAGGCCAAAAACCCTGCCTTAATACCCAAGAAGCCTAAACCCTAAACCGTGAAAAGGCCTAAGCGCACTAAGGAGCCTGCCCAAAACAACGATTAAAGTCCTAACAACCCTACCGTACAGCCCTGAAAGCCCTAAAGTCGTGGAACCCTGATAACCCTGAAGCACCACCCTAAAGCCCGAAATCAAAACATGCCCTAAATCGAATACACCTTCTAAACCCAAACACCCTACAAGCCCTAGAAACCTGACAAACGACCTACAACCCTACAAACCCCAAACAACCCTAAAAGCTAAAAACCCTAAACCCTAGACCCTAAACCCCAAACCCCAAACCCTAAACCCTAAACCCTAAACCCTAAACCCTAAACCCTAAACCCTAAACCCTAAACCCTAAACTCTAAACCCTAAACCCTAAACCCTAAACCCTAAACCCTAAACCCTAAACCCTAAACCCTAAACCCTAAACCCTAAACCCTAAACCCTAAACCCTACCCTACGAAGCCTCATCCAGGCGCGGCCGGCGCTGCTACGGGCCTCGACGGCAGCGGCCCGGGAGGCTACGGACGAGTATTGAGTTTGGGCGTTTAGGGTTTAGGCATGTCGGGTGTAGGGTTGTAGGGTTTTTGGGGTTTTTAGGGTTTTAGTGGTGAGGCCTTGGTAACTCTTCTTATTCCCAGTTTTGAGGGGCCTCGCATGGTCTCGATTCGTCATGCAAGCCGTCAGTCACTAAGGCCCCAACACCCCAGATCCTACAAGCCCTACACCCAAGAGACCCTAAACCCTCACCCCCTGTCTGTCTGCCGCAGATAGGTGGCCCTTCCCCAGCCAGCCGCCGAAGCCTTGGCCGGACCGGACGGCCTAGTCCTGTCCACAACCACGACGACCACCACAGAGTTTCGCGGCCCAGCATTTAGGGTTGAGGGTTCAGGGTTGGAGGCGTTAGGGTTTAGGACTGAGATAGGTCTTAGGCATTGCGAGTAAGGCTTGGGAATTCAAAGCTTTGGTGGCTTTGGGGCTCCAAGGTTAAGGGATTACAGGGCTTAGTTTGCATGGGGCTTACGGTTTTTTGGGATGGACGCTTCAGGGCTTGTTTTGGGCCCAGCTGTGGGTTGAGGACCCTGGCATACCAGCCCCTAAACCCTCATGAAACCCTATACTCATTAAACCCTAAACCCTAAACCCTCAAGGCCCTATAAACCCTAAACCCTAAGCCCTAAACCCTATACCCTATACCCTATAAACCCTAAACCCTAAACCCTGCCTAAAGCTCATGGTGCTCAGGCTGGCCTACATCGTGCAAGGCCAGTCAGGGCAGCGCCGCTCTCAGCAAACGACTCGCGCGTTCTCAACCCCATTTCCTAGGACCAGCTCCTGGTTTAGGGTTTAGGGTTTAGGGTTTAGGGTGAAGACAACCTAGCATTGTACGTGATTTCTAGCCCGTCGATTGAAGGACCCAACAGCATAGCTTCCTGTGGGGTTTACGAAAATAGGGACCCCGAATATAGACCCCCAAATCGTAGGATTTCCTTGTCATAAGGACCCAAAATAAGGTACCCCCGTGATATCGTAAACCCACCATATTTCTGCACTGTTCTGTCTTTGCCTGGCCAATAGGGTTGGGGCTTTGCCTCACTGAGGAGCTGAGCGGCCTAAGCACACGCCCTGTTGAGTTTCCTGAAGCCTCGACCAGGAGGCCCTTATTCCCTTTTTTGGATTCAGGTTCCCTTAGCACCTCCTTTAAACCAAAAAGGGCACATGTTTTAATCCTAGGTTCCTCCTGGGTCTAGTATACAACCCTACAGCGCTGTATGCAACTGAAAGCTGCAGCCTGAAGCAGCGGTTTAGGATGACCTCTTTCGCAGGTTCTGCGAAACAAAATCCAGGCTTTGGGGTTATTGGGCAGGGTTCCCTAAACCCGAAGCTCTAAACCCTAAACTCTGAACCCTAAACCCTAAACCCTAAACCCTAAACCCTAAACCCTAAACCCTAAACCCTAAACCCTAAACCCTAGACCAAACCCTGAAGCCCTGTGGGACTCAGAGTGTCGAGCTTTAGGGACCGTCAAGCCCCACAGACCTTGAGGTTTCGGGATCTCGGCCCCCACCACCCCAAAGAGTTTAGGGTTTAGGGTTTAGGGTTACATCTAAGCCCTAAGGCGCGCATGCATATGTTCCTATGCATACACTTTCCTATTTTGTAGAATGGCAAGTTAAGTGTTTTTCATAACTATGATGGCCTCATAGCGGCCAAAAACCTAAACCCTCAAGGCCCTAAATCCCCTAAACCCTAAACCCTATACCCTAAACCCTAAACCCTAAACCCTAAACCCTAAACCCTAAACCCTAAACCCTAAACCCTAAACCCTAAACCCTAAACCCTAAACCTAGTCGAAACGCATCCCTGGCAGCTGAGCTGCAGGCTGGAGGGTGAGGCGGGCAATCAGACCGCCGGCCCGGAGGATGGTTCGGGTTTAGGGTTGAGGGTTTAGGGTTTAGGG